TCAATCAGGTTAGAAAAGTCCCGGACATGATTTTGCAAAGTTACAAAATTCATTGCAAGTTGTTGTTGGTATGGCCTATCTTGCACAAATGGAGTAAGATCGAGATAGGCAGCTTCTGAACCTTCAAATTGAAGAATAAAATCAGGTTGTAAGGAATCAGAATTTGGACCAATGAGGAAAGGATTGTCACCAACAAAATAAGAAGGAAATTTATAACAAGTTTCAAGTGTAGAAACTCCCTTTGAAACTTCATTATTCCTCCCAACAAGCAAATCAGACTCATGGTTGACGTTGAACATCAGTGGATGACAAAGAGAGACAACACTTAAGGTGCAAACTCCATGAAAAGTTTGATATTCACCAATGGATTTAGGCATAGAACATGCCAAGATCAACTCAATTTTTCCTTGCTTAACCTGCATAAAAGTAGAAACACTAAACAAAGTAGAGTCAAGATCGTTAGAAAAAACATATGGTCTCACATCCTTTCTCACAATCAGCTTACTCTTAGAATTTTTAATCTCTTGTTCATGCTCAGTAGCTGACTTTTTCCCCTCATTATTCTCAACCTCTTTCTCCTTTTCAACTCCCTCGAATTTTACCTCTTCAGTCACAATTCTCTCCTCCAGCTCTTTCTTCATACTATAACGCTCATGCTCACTCTTCATGTATGCTAGATCAATACAAAGTTGCTTAGAGTTAAGCGACACAAGCCTGGTACGACGGCCATTAAATGTGAAGGAATACTTATTAGTATATCCATCATATTTGACTTCTCGATTAAACATCCACCATTGTCCTAACAGCACATGCGTCACTTGAATGGGAACCACATCACACAACACCTCATCCACGTATTGACCAATATGAAAAGGAACAAGTGTGTGCTTAGTAATCCAAATATCACCACTATCACTTTGCAACTTGTAAGGGCGAAGATGATCAATGGTTGGAAGATTCAATTTCTCAACCAAGACAGTACTTGCGAGATTAACTTCACAACCCTTATCAATGGCTAAGCTGCAAACTTTATCCTTGATATGGCAACTTGTATAAAACCAATCATTTTTTTGAGCTTTGATGATTTCCAATTGCTCAGTTATCTCACGCAATGCCACAGTATTTACTCCTTTAGGCACAAGATGGTGGAGCTCCAGTTGAGCATTCGTTTGTCTCATACCTTTATTACCTGCAAAACTCAACAAAGTGAAAAAGAGTTATTTTACTTCAATGGTTCTAGACTTAGTAATCGGAATTTTTCAGCTAAAAATGTTGACTTTCACGTGAAATGATACTTGAATTAATAGTATGCAAAACAACTCAAGAATGCAACTGTTGAGTAAACAGGGGTTTTCATTTAAAAATATCGATTTTTGTGTCGAAAGACACATTCACAACTTAAGTTTGAGAAAACATTTAGATATGTTATGTGAGGGATCTAAAAATTTTACTATTTTTGAAAGGTAAATAATAATGATGAAAATATTAATATTATGTGATTTTGCTAAATTTTTGTTATTTTCATCTATTAAAATTTCATTTTATATCTTAGTTGAATTGTTATTAATAATTGCCCGATTATCATTTGGCTAGCATTAAGTGTGAAACTTTGGAGTGGTGATGTGGAATTTAGTCTTAAGATGAAATCTAGAGCATGTAGAGACTTTAAAGAAATAAAAAAATGATAGGATAATGTTGGTTGAGGGAAATCTAGACATAAACGAGTAGGTGAGGTGGTCCCCTACCACACTTTAAAGGAAGAAACTAGACTTGACAGCTCATTCTCTCTCTTTCCCCTTGAGCCAACCGAAATTTTGAGAGAGAAAGAGAGACTTGAGAGCTCTCCATTTCTTCTTCCATCTTGCTCTTGAAAATCACTTGAAAACCTATCACCCACCACAATTTTTCCTCTTCTTTTTCTTCTTTTGTTGTTGAGGGCCGAGAGAGAGAGAGGACCGAGGGAGAGAGAGAAAGCCGGAGAACGAGAGAGAGAGAGAGAGTGTGTGTGTGTGTGTGTGTGCAACCAAGAGAGAAGGGACACCATCCATCTTGCTCCTTGTGGATTTGTGGAAGAAATCACCAAGCAACCTAGAAGATTTGACATTTCTTGAGGAAACTTGAAGGGGTGAAGTTTGGAAGGAAGTTTTGAGATTGAATCACACTAGATCTAGTTAGATCTTGAGGTAAGAACCAAAAATCACCCTTAATCTTTAATTTCTAGCCATGAAAATGTTAGATTCACTTGATTTAAGTAAGATCTAAGGTAGATCTAGTAAATTTCTTGTAGTTATACCACTAGATGTTCTAGTGGTTGAAATACTAGCATAGCTCTTGTTTTATTGGTTGGATTTACTTGAAAATTTTTCATTGATAACCAAGAGCTAATGATTGATGAATCCCATATGGATTTGAGTGAGTTTTGTTGACTAAATCGTTGTTTTGTTGGTGAAATTTTTGAGAAATTTTTGGAGGAGCTAGTCGAATGAAAAGGGTTAATTTTTCCACCTTCATTTTCGACATTTTTGTGTCCTTTTTGACTAAATCTCACTCAAGTGACTTGGTATTATGTTAAACAATGATTATATGTTGAATTGGAGTTGAAGGTTAGGAACTTTAATGGTTAAAAGTCACTTTATTTCACTATTTTTGGACTAAAAACTATCCTGGCAGCAATGGTGAATTCGAGTCTGTTTTGCCCTTGATTTTGTGTTTTCACGCGTCAAATTTTGGGGAAAACTATTCTAGATACATATTGCTTTCATAATTCGAGCTTACGTGTCGAGTTCAAGTGAATTTAATTTAGTTTCGCGAATTGTTGGGGCGAAACTTATTATCTTTTTTTACGTGTTCATAGGAGTGATTGAAAACTGTGATACCGATCCTAACTTGGAATCGGAGTTTTGATATATTGGTGAGTTTTCATGCATGTTATCTGTCTTGAATTTGCAAATGTGACATAGATGTGAAGTTGATGTTATGACTGATATGAATAGTGTTCTGAATTGTTGAAGTGTTGTGATGTCGCCTCGGTTGTTATCCCATCGATGATTAGTGATTGATTGTGCATGTTAATTTTTGGGAATTTCTAAGTCCTATAAGTAAGTCTGTCGATTTGAACCAGCCATGGGACTTGGTCGAGGAGATTTGACGAGCCATAGAAGAGTGTTTTATATTCACTGGACTTGGTGTTTAGACTTGTCCCTTTTGAAGTGAAAACTATGATATGTTCGAGCAATTCCCATTTTAAGTGTTTTGGATTGCGAACCCGGTTGGGGGAGTCATTGGAAGGAGAATGAAGTAAGTGGAGTTCTACATGGTGATGATACTTGAAAGTCAACGGAGTGTCGATTACGTGAAATAAGATCAAGATTTGTGGACATTGGCTCCTGAGAACCACCCGTATCCTACCCCTTGATATTGTGAATCGGTTTATTTACTTGCTTGAATTGTGAATTTGAACTGCTCTATGTGACTGTATGCTTTTTTAGGAACTCGCTGGGCGTTAGTTCATTCTTTCCAATTTGTTTTCCTTAACAGGAAGCGAAAACCAGAGTGAAGCCACTGTTAGTTAGGGTGTGATCCTGTTTTTTCTGTATTTTCTTTTGGGTTGTTAAACTTTGAATTCGATAATTTGGAAGCTTGTAAGATGAACTTTGATTGTATCTTAAGTACGTTGGATCATATTTTGTTAGTAGAGTTGTAAGTTGAACTTAGTTATGTTATAAGTTGTGGAATTGTTATTTTAAGTACTTTGGAAGTATTTTATTCAATCGTATGAGTGAGTCCTGGCGTAAGTTGGACAGGCAACCCGCCAAACCCTTTGGTTCGTCTTAAGGAAAGGTGGGCCTGTCACAGGTGGTATCAGATCCTTGGTTTGAATGATCTAGGTAGTGTTAGAGTTATTAAGATATTTATTTATGAGTTTTCTTAGGATAGAACGAAGTGTTAGACAAGAGGGACTAGGTGTGTCTGAGTTTTAGAATGTTTAAGTATCTAATCCAGTTTATTCTTGTAGGGTATGGATCAACAGGGTAATGGTGAGCATCCTAGGATTCATCGTCCAGTGATCGGCTATCGCATAGGACCAGGAGGTTCTCGTGTGGCCTATAACCCCATGACTTGAGCTAGGTGCCAGTGTGAGAGTTGGAGAACTCATGCCTACCCTGACCATGTGGTCCTATCACTCTACCATGAGAGGAGACGTCTGACTAGGATCAATAGGGAGTTACGAGAGGAAGTTGATAGATGTTTGGCTGTGGAGGAGGCTCAGACAGCTAAGATTCGTGAGCTCGAGGCTGAGATTCGCGCGACCACTGAGCGATTGATTAGAGTTGTGAGGGTTGCTCGCGATCGAACTGGTGGCATTGTAGCTGAGTGCGAGAAGTTGATTGGACGAGTACTCGAGGCTAGTCGAGAGGAGGTGAACCCTGCGGTAGGACCTCCTAGTGATGTGGATATGGGAGGAGATCCTATGACCGAGTCGCCTGGGGCTGCAGCTGTGGTTGAGGCGGATCTACCTTAAGAGGAGGGGACTGCCAGTTCCGAGTCTTCAGAGACTTCCGCATCTGAGGCAAATTAGGCTAGTAGGGATGGAAGCAGTGCTTTGGTGTACCCTTCTTTTGTGAGAGAAACCGTTAGAGTGGTTCTCATTCCTGTAAATACATGCTATCATAACTGTTTTGATTGCTAGTTTCATGTTTACTTTTGGTTGTGACTTTCGTATCTCTTTTGTAGAAGCATGCTCATATGATATATTCGTACGCTTTTCTAATATGAATATAAAGTATTTCGATTATCTTTAGAGTTTGACTTGCTAATACTTTATCTTTATAATTATTTTAAAAAGTTTGCCCTCTAGAAGACCAGTGGAAGGTAGAAGAGGTCGAGGGCGAGGAGTTAGACAATCTCATAACGTGGAAGGCGATCAAGAGTCGGGTGCAGACCAAAATTTTGGATCTAGAGGCGAGGTTGAGGAACAAGTGGCTACTGCCATTAACCAAATGACAGACATTCTAGAACGTTTAGCTAACCAACCAGGTCCTGTAACTGTAAACCAAACTGTTAACCCTGAAGGTGGGGAGGATAGAGCTCTAGAGAGCTTCCAGAGGTTTTCCCCATCTAAGTTCTCTGGAGGGTCTAATCTGGAAATGGTTGAGGGATGGTTAGAAAGAATTACTGATATTTTTGCTGCTCTAAATTATATGGAGGAAAGGCAAGTGGCCTTTGCCGTGTTTCAGTTTGAGAGAGCTGCCCGATCATGGTGGAACATGATAAGGGTTAAGTGGGATAGAGAACAGACTCCTAGAACTTGGGTGAACTTTACTCTGGAGTTTAATGCTAAATTCCTCCCTCCGCTAATCCAAGAGAAAAGGGAAAATGATTTTATCAAGTGTAAACAAGGATTGTTAAGTATCGCGGAATACGAGACACTATTCATCAAGTTGTCAAAGTTCACCCCTGAGTTGGTGGCAACCGAACAGAGGAGGATAAGGAGGTTTATTCAAGGTTTAAATGTGGAAATACAAGAAGGTCTAGCAGCGATCCAAATCACCAGTTTTAGTGATACAATTGAGAGGGCTCAGAGAATTGAAAGTGCAAAGACTCAAGTGAGAGCTTTTAATGCAAGAAAAAGGAATGCTCCTAGTGGTAGCCTTGGTCCAGTGGACACGAATGCTCCACCTCCCAAGTTTGGGAGAGGAGTGAACACCTCGGGAGCACCAAGAGAAACGATGACGAGAGGAGCTACGTCGAGAGGGGCCTTTTCTAGAGGGACATCAAGTGGAAGGGGACAGTCAAGGAATGTTCCACAAGGAAGCCAAGCATCAACTCCTAGTATGATTGTAACTATTGTGGGAAGACTAATCACACGGAGGATAGGTGTTAGAAAAAAGAGGGGAAATGCTTGAAATGTGGAAGTAGTGATCATCAGCTGGCTGCGTGTCCTAAGACTCAAGAGAGAAGTGGACTTCGTCAGATGGACAAGCCAACACCCAGTCAAACTAGTGTAGTGGGGAATCGATCGAGAGTTCCAGCTAAGGTTTATACCCTAGATCATCAGCAAGTTCCCAATCCAACGGAGGTTGTCGAATGTACTATTCCTATTTTTCATCGCTTAACTAGAGTCTTAGTTGACCCTAGTGCTTCGCATTTGTTTGTGAATTTTGCTTTTATGTGTGGGGTAGATATAAAGCCGGCAAAATTACCTTATGACCTAGAGGTTAGAACACCTACGGGAAACCAAAACCTGATTACGAATCTGGTGTATAGGAACTGTGAAATCTGGGTTGGAGAAAGGAAGTTATTGGTAGATCTAGTAAGTCTGGACATCAAAGAGTATGATGTTATTATAGAGATAGATTGTTTAGCCCGATATCATGCTAACTTCAATTGTGGGACGAAAATTGTGAAATTTTGCATTTTGGGGGAAGCAACGTTAAGATTGGATATGAAGGAAAGATTAGGTTCGTCTGCCCTTATTTTAGAATTTCGGACTTGTGACGGCCCCACCTCCCCCTAGGGCGTACCCCAAGGTTCGGCGGGTCGCCTGCCCAACTCTCGCCAGGACTCAGTCGATCACTTCAGTTCTCAATTAAAATCGGAATAAAACCACAAGAATAAATAGGCAACTATCCAAAACTTAAAACGGAACTTATATACATTGCCATCCCAAAAGAGAGTATAAACATCGAATATACAAATGTTCTCAATCCTTCATACGTCCAGCCCGTGCCAAGCACTAGGGCGAGAACCATTACAACAGAACTAAACTGGCTAGTCTATGCTCTCATCCTGCTCGCCGTCCCCTGTTAAGGAAAACAAAACTAAAGGGATGAGCTTGAAAGCTCAGTGAGGTTCCGAACACATATACAAGTAATAAACCCAATACATTAACCCATAATTCAAGAAAACATTTACAATACAAAGCGATAAACACATTCATTAAAAGGATACGTTCGTTCATTCGTTCGTTCGTTCGTTCTCCTGTCATTCCCCTTTCCTTCATTCATTTGAAAATGTATTTTTCGTTTATACATAAAACCCTCGTTCGTTCGTTCGTTCGTTCATTTCATTCACCCTCTCCTGGACATTGGCCAGGCTCCACCAACCTCCACCAACCTACAAGGTAATACTCGAGTATACCAAACGTTCACCCAGGTCACCAAATCGCCCGACCGAGTCCGCTTCTGGCTCGAGTCGATCGGTAACAAGGGGCAGTGGTCAGTTCAGCCAAAAGGCTTACATTCATGCACAAGTAACATTTCAATCGTTCAATCATTGAAAATTTCACAATCATTTAGGCTGAGTGCGATAAAGTACACACTCGCCTAGAAAACTCGTTTTGGCCAATCATTGAAAGCACTTAACACATTATCAATCAATAATAACAAGCCAATAAGTCAAGGAAATATAACAAACAAGGAACACTCACCTATACAAGCAAAATAACGTCCAATTCCTCAATCACCAATGAAACCTAAAATTAAGCAAGAGAACATATTACAAGTTATCTAGTAAATCAACTAGGAAAAATTAAAGGAAGTCCGACTAATTACTAGTAGGACGTATAAAGATGATTCTTAAGTGAAAAGAGGGTATTTGAATCTGTGGTCGGAAATAATTAGGGTTTCGTAATCCAAGCGAGAAACCAAATTCAAAAGGGTTATAAAATTTTTCAATGGAAATCCTTGAACTAACAACAAGTCGGAATCCAACTAGATAGGCTAAGAAATACTGTTTTCGGAATCGTTTATATGGTTCAAAATCATCTCATATTCAAGTAGATATTATAGACTAAATGCCTTAATGAAATTCATGTAAAAGGGAGGACAAAATACCCAAAAAAAACCCTAAACCACTCCTCTTTATTTGGGTAAGAGTAAGTAAATATTTGGAGTTTCCAATCGAAGAAGGATCATGTTTTAAGATGGAAAAACAGTCATAGGATTTGCCAATCGAAAATATATAAGTTCAAATAGAAACTTAGCTCTTAACCGAAAATTTGGGCAGCACGCCCTTTGTGTTTACCTATTTTCCAGCCATTTATGGCTTCATTATTTTCCCTCAACCAATCCCAAAGTCATACATATCATAGATTCAAGTCAATAGCCATTCCATAGGCTCAAAACAATATAAGAACAAGAATTAAACTAATAACAAGTGCGGAAATGAAGTTTACAAAAGACAGTTTTGACGTGTGGTTGCGGAAAGAACACATCCGGGGCTACGCTTATCGAATTGGAATGAATCTTATTCCGTTTCGAAGCTAAGATACAGGGCTACAATTTTCATGAAGATCACTTAGTCCAGTTTCCAATGGAACCTAGTCAAATTCCCAATTTACAGAACCAAAATCCAACTAGTCGGCTAATTAACCGCACTACCTTTAAATGGCTATATCTCAGGTTACCAAGGTCCGATTAAGGTGTTCTTGGAGGCGTTTAAAATCTAATACAGAACACTAAAACTTTAATGTTTTGACCATTGGCTAAATCAGTACGTATCATAGTGAACAAACACGATTAACTGGATGAATTTGCGAACACGAGTCACTGGAATGCATCCTAGGGCAGCGAGAGTATTTTGCCCTTTTCTCAGTCTACGTTACTCCGATTGGGTTGAAATTTTGTAGTAACCTATAAAATACCATTATATACAACTTTCATGTTTTAGGCCAAGCCTAATTCGGCCTCTAAATATGAGTACTAAAACCGGGCAGAACTGAACTGAAATTTTCCAGAAATCTGGGATTATTGCAATCAATTGCTAATTTCCTTATTTTTGGCTTGTTTCACTACCTTAACTTCCCATATCAGATTATAAACATCAAAGCCCAATTTTTAAGCACTAGAAAAATTATAGGAAAGCTGTAAAAATTCCAATAAAAATGGAAAATCATGATCCAAGCCTCTATTTCACCACATACATCAATAATTCAACCATATGTGACATATTTAGCAACTAATCGCGAATTTAATCGGAGAGTCAAGGTTCTAGCATGTATACCTTTCCAAGGAGACTAGAAACAAGTGTTTAAGGCCTTTGTTCCTCAAGAAAATTACACCGGTAGGTAGCCCTTGTGCTAGATAACAACTTAATCATAGTAGATTTGCGCGAATAGAAGAAACTTTTCAAGATTTGGAGAAGAACAAGATGAACTCTCTTTGTCTTTCTCTCTCTCTCTTGTCTCGGCTATGGAGCAGAAAAAATGAAGAATAAAGGCTGTTCTTAGGGAGTTAAGAAGACAAGAGATTAGGATTAATCTAAGCCACAAGTTTGGCCAACACTTGGCTTAATTACAACCATAAAAATTTCTCTTTCTGCTCCTTGCATTTTGGCCACATATTTTGGTCAAGAGATAACCATGAGAGGGGAGATATTTTGCTCAATTAGTGATAAGCTTGTATGGCAAGAAAGTGGTGATCAAGTGGTGGTTAAATTGGTAGTACACGGTACGCGTCGGTTCGAGCCGTTTTTCCTTAAATCACACGTACTAGGGTTTTTTTTTTCTTTTCTCTAAATTTTTATCATTGCTTCTAATCACATATTATTTCTCACTTAAAAGTCACTCTTAAGCACCAAATTTGATCCGTACTCTGTACCAGATAATTACACTGCGGATACACGAAAATTCTTATTTCACCTTGAATTGAAAATGAATAGGAAAACCATAATTGATGTGAGACGGATCTAGACGAACACCAAGTTGGGATGATTGGCGGAACTTTGACCCTTCTATAATCACGAGCCACGAACTAAGGAGATTCCTTAACCCACGACTAGCAAATTTAGTGAACCAAAAGTATGGATAGAAGAACGCCACAATCAAGGAGACTACTTGATTGATAAGTTCGATGAACAACTTGAGATTAATTCTCAAGTATTCAAAGGAAATTCTCTTGAGGCAAGAGAGAGTGAAATAACTCACATATATCTTATAAAATCTGAATTGTCCCCCTAATGAATGAAAACCTAGGCTATATATAGCCTTACAAGACAAAACCCTAACTCGGCTAGGCTAGGCTTTTGGCCCGATTCCACTACTCAAATCCACTATCTAATGGTCAGCTTATAATTGATCCAATGAAGGCTTTAAGCTGGCCCAACATAACCCAATAAAAGCTAATTAACCAACTTAAGTTATAGTGAGCCTAGACTCTATAAATCAGATCCAACTCAACATGAGGTCTTGGACCGAATTTATTCCTAGCAAATAAAATAGAAATCTAGAAAATAAACTACTAACTATTACTAAAAGATTCAATCTCTTGCAGCCCAAAACATGGCCCATAAGCGGCCCATATTTCGTATCATTCCCCTCCTCTTGAAAAAGATTTGTCCTCAAATCATGTTTGGAAATGAATAGTACTACAAGAATTGGCAGTATGAAACTTCAAATCTCCACATATTGGCTCTCTTAGAATGAATGATACTTGCATACGTCATGATTATTGTAATTCGGTGCACATGTCTCTTGGTCAGCTTGAAAATGCTCACAATCTGCCATGGAAAACTCAAGGCTTGACTCCAACCACTCCAAAGCTCTCTAATCAGTCCTGTGTCATGAATGGTCGACTTTGGACCTACACAATAAATCACACGATTAGCATTTGTAGGAATAAAATCACTTGATAGCTTACCATTCACATTCACAAGATAAGGATCTTCATAGTGATGCTCAATCAGGTTAGAAAAGTCCCGGACATGATTTTGCAAAGTTACAAAATTCATTGCAAGTTGTTGTTGGTATGGCCTATCTTGCACAAATGGAGTAAGATCGAGATAGGCAGCTTCTGAACCTTCAAATTGAAGAATAAAATCAGGTTGTAAGGAATCAGAATTTGGACCAATGAGGAAAGGATTGTCACCAACAAAATAAGAAGGAAATTTATAACAAGTTTCAAGTGTA